TCTTGAAGATGAAAACAGGAACCACGGAGACACTTTGGAAATCAAACCACGTCAACACAAACCCTGGAGCGGGTTTTCAGGCTCTGATCTCTAACAACAGAATGAACGGATGATACACGGACCCTCGAGACTCTTCCTCGTGTCTTTAGTCTCGTGATGAAGTCATGAACACTGACCTGAACATCGGCGCTATCAGAGCACGAGGCTGCTGTTTGGCTCCTGCGGTCCGGGTTCTGGTTCTCCATCGTCCTGCAGGTCTCCGCTGTGACTGGTGGACCGTGTTGTCCTGGACTGAGTCTGGATTCTGGTCTCGGAGCTCTTCAGGCTGAGATACAGGAGCGCTGCGGGATCCCGCGGAGTGTTCTCGCGATGTCACGGTGTCTCGCCCCGCCCCTTAGTTACTGTCGCTAAGGCCGTTTAGAAACACGGCTCCTTGATTTCAGGCAGAAGATGAAGTTTAGTTAGTTGGTTTCCTGAAACCAGCTGATCATATTTGATGTGTATGAGGGAGTGTGCTTCACACAGAGCAGAGTTTTAATGAAGCGCTTGTTATTATCACATCAGAGGCTCATGAAAATATCCTGCTGAAGCTTTTTGTACAACAAAGACAGAAATAACTTCATGTGTTACATTTAATGTTGAATTTACAGGAAGGCAGAATCATTAAGAATTAAAAACTGGCTGCCTCTGCAACTGCAAAGGAAGTGGTTTGGTTGGCTACATGTCCATAATAAAAGAGACCGGCAACAATAGTGTCTAGACAGCAAGCTGATATTTTAAAGTGATCTTATCAAAACCTTCATGGAGACTTAAAAAGGAAAATAATTTTATTAAACAGAAATAGGTAAAGATAATCAACCAGCAAAGCAAATACCATGCCCTAGAAATAACCTGATGCACAGCAGATGAAATACATATTTAAATATATAGTAGATAGAGAAGACTAATTGTACTTTTTCTTGAGTAAAGATTTTGAGTACTCTAACGAATAAGCTTGTAGCTCAGATCACAGTTAGCACCTTTCAATAACACTTCCTAAACACACAGCATGAAGCTGGACAGACAAATGTCTCCACACAACAAGCTGATGTCAGCGAGGAAGTGTTGTAGAAAGACAGGTGTGTCATGTGATGTTTGTTCTTCAACACTGTTAGGCCCGGTCTAGGGGCCCAGACATGAACACAACGTAGACTATTGTAAAATAAGGAATCATGAATTTAACAATTGGAGGAGAGAGATGGACAGTAAAAGTGTAAATTCTAATATTAATATTCCTCCAGAAGTGTAAAAGGGAATAACAGCAGCAGCAGAGGCTCTGAACGTCTTCATGATGATTCAGCAAATGAAAATGATTCCATGTGTGTGGAATCCAAATCAGAAATGAATCCTAAATACTCTCTCAGTCTGTCTGCTTCCTCTTCTTCAGCCAAAAGACTTCTCTCTTCTTCCTCTTGTTGTTCCCTCTTCATCTCGGCTCCTTCAGGAGAGCTGAGCTCCACATATCTGTTGTTTTCATTCTGTTATTTCAGTCATTCAGAGCTGAAGAGCGAGGAGAAAAGGAGGAAATATTCTAACCATTGTTCCAAAGCATCAGTGTGGAGATCTGTGGTGAGAGCTGATTAGTGCTACAAGCAGATGAAAAATAATAAACCCGTCCAGCAAAATGTAACACGCTAAAAAACACACTGCCAGTCGAAGAAGAAATATTTGGTTTTAGCTGAAAGTTAAAAAGCATCGACCTCTCAATTCAACATTCATTTAAAAACCTTACAAACGACAGTTGGTTGCAGAGCAGCAACCATGAAATGAACAGTTGTTAGTTTAAAACAAGGTTCGTTGTTGTTGTTGTTCACAAACTGTGTGTTAATTATAGTTTTTTTTTTTCCTTCATCAGATCTCTGCCTGCACTCACACTTGATTCTTGGGTCTCTGTAAATAATATCACAAAGAGTACGGTCTAGCACTGCTCTGTATGAAAAGGGTAATGAGATAACTGGATTGGAGCTACATAAATAGAATTGAATTACTTTTTTTATCTTAACCCTTTGTTTTCTAACCTAAGAAGAAGATGTTTGTTTTTTTCCGACACATTTTTTAACAACACTAGGCCTCCATAATTACAACAACAACAACATTTTTTTTTTTGTCTGTGTTTTGATAAATTTGGACTAAATCAGATTTTGGCTAAAATGGACAACAATGACAGACTGAGGCGAATGCAGAAGTAACTTATACGGCCAGCAGGGGGTGACTCCTCTGATTGCAGAAAAAAGTCTGGTTTCATATAAAATAATCGTAAAATGAGGCCATTCTTACCTCTTTGATTACCTCAGCAAACACTTTCCTGATGGGTTTATGGTGTCAGTTGCTAGTTTCAGTCTTCAACACAAAATTATGTTCATTTAGTAAACTATTGCCGAACTTAGAGGTGAATAGACAGAAAGCAAGGGATGATTCAAGGCGGGCTACCTCGCGACCTGTCAATTAGGCTAGAATGACTCGTACCCACGGCACCGTGTAAACTTAACCAGCAGCATTGAAAAAGCTTAGGAGTGTTACAGCCCAGCTCGTTGTGGAGAGAGGTAACATAAAATATAGGATAACTGAACTCAGATGGAAATGACAACATTTAACGGTTTATTTCTCTTTTTTTTTTTAAAGTGTTGCTGTTAAAAAAAAAACACAGCGTCCCTTGGTTATCCCTTTAATATTGGCTGTGTCAGGTCAGAAAGGGCTTAGACCAGAGCATAAGCACACATTTTTGTCACCACTTAAGAACAACTGTGGTCTGGGGGCGTCCTACCTGACTTGTGAGCCATGCAAACAATTTTCCATTTCTGCACAGTCAGCCTGACATTGCAGTGCTCTCATTACCACCTCTCCTTTAAAACAGTCTGTCTCTGTAATACGCCTGAATGGAAACTTTTTACAAAAAAAATCTACTGCTGATTTGAATGGACCTCTGCGCACTAACTGTGTCCTTATACAGTGTGTTAAGACTGATCCAGGCTGTACAGCTCTGGATGTGCTCACACTGACTAAGGCTGCCAGAACTTCACCTGGGTCTGTGGTGAGTGTTTTCTATTTGGTTCCGGTTTCACATGCAACATGCAGTCTGTGCACTCGGTCAAACGGTCTAAAGGGGATAATTACAGCGGAGCAATAACTAGGCCTAATGCACAGGAGAGTAGAGACTTAAAAGATGTTATGAGTTCCCATCAAATTATGATGTTTGTCTCTTAATATTACGTCTTTTTTTTTCGACATGTCAGAGAACACAGATGTGGGAGAGAATCTGAATGTGCAGAAAACCTGCTAAAACACTGGATCCAGGAACTTTAATTAAAATTACCTTATTTGAGGTGAAAAGGTGCCACATGCACATCCCCATGCAAAAGACACAAAAGAGGAGGGAAGACTGAATCCTGCTTGGATGTGTGCTGACTCAGCGGGGATTTTATTAAATTATAAAAGTTGATCTACAGGAGAAATATAGGTTATTTAAAAGCAATAGCTACAGAATGTCTGAAAGCCATTTTTTATATTTTGAATTGTCACCTGCTGCCTAAATATTGTGTTCCCCTTTACATAATTGAAGACATTTCTACCATAAATTGAGGCAGAAAGGCAGAAATTCAATTTCACTAGAATGCAGGAAATGAAGTCCTCAATGCTTAAGATTTTCTGGGGGAGAACCACCTGGCTCTTCATTTGAGTCATCTCCACCATTGAAACTAAACCAATGCTCTTGCATTTCAAGAAATCTACCACATACTGCAAGAAAACAGTCTCTGGTTTGACTCACAGTTTAAGGAGGGGCATATATACTCTAAGCTTGGTCTCCCAATTTAGGCTATGATGTTGAGGTTGACAAATATGCCGATCACACAGTTCATTATTGACCATGATTATGGACTTGCCTTTTCATCTATACATGCTAAAATTGTGAGTTTGGGTGATAAAACAAGCCTTTTGGAGAGGGCAGCAATGGCCCCAACCCCTGAGGTAGACTTTTTAGGCTTGGGCATGGGGGAGGGGATTTAAAATCTCGCCTAGGGCGCCAACATTACCATGGCCGGCCCTGCCCTAGGATATTTTATGCAGCATAAGAAGTTAGCTTGAAATGCACAGTGTTTAAACGTGTTGGAGTTGAGGAGCTCCGCAAGTGGCTGTGGGGGAAGCCTGCGCCAACCAACGGGAGGAACTGGCGAGGCCGCCCAGCCGCCCACTCACAGAGCCCTCTGCTCCCGCCGTCACACAGACCGTTGCAGCAACAACAGCAGAGGAAGCTTTTCATACCGCTTATCTGTCTAAATCAAGAGACAGCTGTTTGTGGGTCACATTGAACATTATGTCGCGGCAGTTGCTATGATGAACAGCTACACTGAGGGTAGCCATGGTAGCGACCTGTCAATCACAAGGTAGTCCTGCCCAAAAACATTCGCTGCATTATCATCCATTTACCCCTACATAGAACCATCATTTACTAAATGAACATCATGCTGTGTTGAAGAAGACTTGAAACTAGCGACTGAAACCAGAAACTCATCAGGAAAGTGTTTACTGAGGGAATAAATCAAGTAGCAACATTATTTCTAATGGTACCGGACTTCTTTCTGCAACCAGCGGACTTGCCCCCTGCTGGCTGTCAGACAGAATGCAGGTTTCAGTGCCATCTGCACGGTTTCACTTTCAGACCCAGAGGCTGCCGCATGATTAAGATTAGAGAATTAACATTTGACAACCACTCGTCACGTCACTACAACTCTGGATTGGACAACGGTACATGAGTTTCTACTGTTTTTGTTTTAAATACTAATGTTTTTGCACTGGCCTGCTCGTTGCTAGTTAAACTGTCCCGACGTTGGCCCCGGGCAAGGGGCCACCGTTATTGTCGAGCCCTGTGCTACGTACATCCTTAAGCTATGAGTAGAGGAAAAGTACGCTAGTTGCTAGGCTAATTTAAAATGCCATGGGGCGTAGCTCAGAGCAATGTTCACAACGAAGCAGTGTGACTGCGCTGGTGGGCTTTAAGATATTCACTCCGAGTGAAAGTTTTCCCACAGTGTTCACACCAGTAAGGTTTATCTCCAGTGTGAACACGTCGATGAACTTGTAGGTTACCCGACTGAGTGAAAGTTTTCCCACACAGTTCACACCAGAACGGTTTCTCTCCCGTGTGAACACGTCTGTGCACTGTGAGATCACTTGGGGTAGTAAAGGTTTTCCCACACTGTTCACACCCGTGAGGTTTCACACCAGTGTGAAAACGTAGGTGTCCTTTAAGGTTACTAACATGAGCAAAGGTTTTCCCACATTCTTCACACCAGTATGGCTTCTCCCCGGTGTGAATGCGTCTGTGATTATGTAGGTTACCCAATGAAGTGAAAGCTTTTCCACACTGTTCACACCAGTTCGGTCTCTCTCCAGTGTGACCACGTCTGTGAATTTGTAGGTTACTTGACTGAGAGAAAGTTTTCCCACACTGGTCACAGCTGTACGGTTTCTCTCCAGTGTGAACACGTTGGTGCTTTCTTAGGTCACCTGCTCTATTGAAAGATTTCCCACACTGGTCACACCAGTACGGTTTCTCTCCAGCGTGAACTCTCTGATGAATCTTTAAATTTCCAGATGTTGTGAAGGATTTGTCACAGTGCTGACAGCGGTGAGGTTTGAGTCCATCTCCTCCTCTCCGTTTCTATAACAGAAGACAGACATACAGAGAGAAAGACGGTGAGCGAGAGGTCTAGACTAGGGCTGCACGATTTGGAGAAAAAGTCATATTGCGATTATTGGTGACATTTTGATACGTGTATTTTCTAACTTGAACAAAGTTAAACAAAAATACCCCATGATAAAATGAGGAAAAGGAGGAACTACCCTGCCCGGAGGAAGTCACAAGTCCCCGGCTAAGGGTCGCTGCGACTGTTGTATGTGCAAACAAACAGCAGTTCTGAGCATTCGGCCTTCTTGAAGACCCTCAAGGATGCTCATAAGTCTATGTGGTACGCCAAGCTGTGTACAATATAGGGCTGGGGAGGGATTCATCGACATAATCGATTGCGTAAATACGTCGACTGGCATTACGTGCGTCGGAGTGTCGCTGCATCAGTTGTTAGCAGGGATTCCCCCTCACACAAGTTGCAGCTACAAGACCGCGCCTTCGAGTCTGTGAGTCAAATATTGATTTACTGATTATTGATCAGGACAGTCCCTAATGAGTGGCAAACTGTGGTGGTGGTTCCCCTGCTCAAAAAGGGGAGAGTGTGTGCCAATTACAGGGGTATCACATTCGTCATCCTCCCTGGTAAAGTCTACTGTAAAGTGCTGGAGAGGAGGGTTCGACTGAGGAACAATGCGGATTCCGTCCTGGTCGTGGAACAACAGACCAGCTCTTCACTCTCACAAGGATCCTAGAGGGATGCCCATCCAGTCTACATGTGTTTTGTGGATCTGGAGAAGGCACATGACCGGGTCTCCCGTGGGATATTGTGTGGGTCCCTGTTAGAGGCTAACCAACCCTGTGTGTCCAAAGCCAGAGCTGTGTACAGATTATTGGCACTAAGTCAGACTTGTTCCAAGTGGGGGTTGGCCTGCGCCAGGGCTGCACTTTGTCACCAATCTTGTGATATTCACGGACAGGATATCGAGGCGTAGTCAGGGTGGGGAGGGGTTGCGGTTTGTTGCGGCTGGGAATTTATGCTTTTTGCATATGATGTGGTCCTGATGGCATCATCGCACCGTGACCTTGTGTTAAGAGTCTGGTATGAGGATTAGCACCTCTAAATCTGAGGGCATGATTCTCAGCAGAAAACCGATGTAGTGCTCACTTCACGTAGGGAATGAGTCATAACAAAAATCAACCTGGCTGATTATCGTGGCCAATATTCAGCCTTTTTTCCAAAAATCTGCATCGGTCATTTTAAAACCACTCTGTGGGCTCGAGCAATGTCGCGCCCACAGTACTAGCTGATTGGTTGCAAGTCATGAGTCATAGCCTATCTACACTGACTATTGTGCCGAAGCAGCCAATAGAGAGCGAAGTGAGCAGACATCATTGTAGCTTACATAACTATAACTACGCCCGTAACTGTAAGCAAGTGCAGCACTGACTGGTGGTCACCTGGCTGATGTACTGCGATAAGCATGTCGACTCATTTCTGTTTCCGGTGCTTGTATGTTGGTACCGTGTTCTGCTGCTCTCGCTAAATAACAGTTACATTTGTTAGATTACAGCAGCCAACTGTCCGCTAAACACTTATTCTTTACAGTAATTTTGCCTAAGCACTCACAGTTCTTTCCATCTTTTAGTGACTGCTGTTCAATCTTATAGTTGTTCTAAAGTTTTGGTAGCTGACGCTACAGTACTTTAGCTTAGCCGTTAGCGACTTTAGCTTAGCAGCTAGCGATGGCTTATCCCTCTCTCTCTCCTGCTCGGTGTGTCAGATGTTCAGTTACTCCTCTGCCTCCTTTAGCGGTAATGGTACGTGTAATAAGTGTAGTTTATTTATAGACATGGAGGCGAGGCTCAGTGATTTCGAAGTCCGGCTCCGCACCTTGGTAGATCAGTCTTTAGCTACTGTAGCTAGCCAGTCCCCGGTTGTCGGTGCGTAACGGCCTGAGTTAGCCTCTGGTAGCCGTCCCCCGGCGTCTCCTGTGTAGCCAGGAAGGGGGGGGGGGGGGGCTGGGTGACTGTCCGAAGGAGGAATAGTCATAAGCATTCGAAGTCCACGGGGCATCATCAACCTGTTCACGTTTCTAACAGATTTTCCCCACTCAGCGACACACCCGCTGAGAAACCAACTCTGATCATTGGCAGCTCCATTTTGAGAAACGTGAAGTTAGCGAAGCCAGCGGCCATAGTTAAGTGCATCCCTGGGGCCAGAGCGGACGACACTGAGTCTTATTTGAAACTGCTGGCTAAGGATAAACGTAAATACAGTAAGACTGTTATTCACGTCTGCGGTAATGACTCCCGGTTACGCCAATCGGAGGTCACTAAGATTAATGTTGAGTCGGTGTGTACATATGCAAAAACAATGTCGGACACCGTAGTTTTCTAAGGACCCCTGCCAAATCTGACCAGTGATGACATGTATAGTCGTCATTCCGCCGCTGGTTGTCAAGGTGGTGTCCAGCAAACGATGTGGGCTTTGTAGATCATTGGCAGACTTTCTGGGGAAGACCTGGTCTGATCCGGACAGACGGCATCCATCCCACTTGGGAAGGAGCAGCTCTCATTTCTAGAAATCTGGCCAAGTTTGTTAGTGGACCAAATCCATGACAACCCAGAGTTGAGACCAGGAGGCAGAGTCGCAGTCTAACACACTTCTCTGCTCCTCCATTTCAGGAGTTACCCACCCAAAACCCTACGCAGAGTCGCAGTCTAACACACTTCTCTGCTCCTCCATTTCAGGAGTTACTTAGTGAAAATCCTATAGTGACGGTGTCTGCCCCCCGACCATGGAAATTATTTAAAAAGGTAAACAGAAGAGGAGCTGTGCATAAAAACCTCATAAAAATTAAAACCACAAGAGCAATAGTGCAAACGAATAGGAGAGTTAAATATGGACTCTTAAACATCAGATCTCTCTCTTCTAAAGGTGTACTAGTAAATGAACTAATATCAGATTATGATATTGATTTATTTGGTCTTACTGAAACCTGGCTGGGTGATGGAGAATATGTTAGCCTAAATGAATCCACCAATCCTAGTCATATTAATACTCACATTCCTCGAGGCACAGGCCGAAGAGGTGGAGTGGCAGCTATCTTCGACGCTACCCTACTAATCAGCTCTAAACCTAAACTAAATTATAACTCATTTGAAAGTCTTGTTCTTAGTCTTTCGCACCCAAGTTGGAAATCACTGCAACTAATTCTTTTTGTTATAGTGTACCGAGCACCTGGCCCGTATTCTGATTTCTTATCTGAATTTGCAGAGTTTTTGTCAACTTTAGTCCTTAAACGGACAAAGTTATTATTGTAGGGGATTTTAATATTCATGTGGATGTTGAGAATGACAGCTTCAGTACTGCGTTTATCTCTCTGTTAGATTCCATCGGCTTCTCTCAGAGTGTTCATGAACCGACTCACTGTTTTAACCACACCCTCGACCTTGTTTTGGTGTATGGTATTGAAATTGAACATTTAGTGGTTTTCCCACAGAATCCCTCTTTGTCCGACCACTGTTTGATAACTTGAGTTTGTATTGCTGAACTACACGCCATTGGGCAAAAATTTCTATACAAGATGTCTGTCTGATAGTGCTGTAGCTAAATTTAAGGATGCGATTCCATCAGCTCCAAATTCATTATCAAGTCACAAAGTAACGGAGGACTCCTATGCTAGTTTCAGTCCCTCCCAAATCGATCATCTTGTTGATAGTGCTGCAGGCTCGCTGCGAATGACACTCGACTCTGTAGCCCCTCTAAAAAAGAAAATACTAAAACAAAGACGGTTAGCTCCATGGTATAATACTGAAACTCGCAAATTAAAGCAAATATCGCGTAAACTTGAGAGGAATTGGCAAGATAGTCTTAAAACTTGTAGAAAGGCCCTCCGTAATGCCAGAGCAGCGTACTACTCGTCATTAATAGAGGAAAATAGGAACAACCCCAGGTTTCTTTTCAGCACTCTAGCCAGGCTGACAGAGAGTCACAGCTCTATTGAGCCAAGTATTCCCATAGCTCTCAGTAGTTACGACTTCATGAGCTTCTTTAATGATAAAATTCTAGCTATTAGAGACAAAATTCACCAAGACCTGCCCTCAACTGGCACCAACTTATCTCTTAACTCAGGAACCTTAGAAACAGCTGTAGAACCAGATACATGTTTAGACTGTTTTGCTTCCCTCAATATTTACCAACTAACTTCAATAATTTCTTCATCTAAACCATCAACCTGCCTCTTAGACCCCATCCCGACTAGGTTGCTTAAAGATGTTTTACCCTTAGTCAGCACTTCTATACTAGATATGATCAATCTATCTGTATCAACAGGCTATGTACCACAGTACTTTAAAGTAGCTGTAATTAAACCTCTTCTGAAAAAGCCCAAACTTGATCCGGATGTTTTAGCCAACTATAGACCTATATCTAACCTTCCATTTCTCTCTAAGGTTCTGGAGAAAGCAGTTGCTAAACAGCTGTGTGACTTTCTACAGAGCAATAGTTTATTTGAGGATTTTCAGTCAGGATTTAGAGCTCATCATAGCACAGAGACAGCACTGGTGAAAATGACTAATGACCTCCTTATTGCATCAGACAAAGGACTTGTCTCTGTACTGGTTTTATTAGATCTTAGTGCTGCATTTGATACCATTGACCATCAGATCCTATTGCAGAGACTGGAACATTTCATTGGCTTTAAAGGAACCGCTCTAAGCTGGTTTAAGTCCTATTTATCAGATCAATTTCAGTTTGTACATGTTTACGATGAGTCCTCCATGCATGCCAATGTTAGTCATGGAGTTCCTCAAGGATCTGTCCTCGGACCAATCCTCTTCACTTTATTTATGCTTCCTTTAGGCAATATTATCAGGAAATATTCCATAAGCTTTCATTGTTATGCAGATGATACTCAGTTATATCTATTGATCAAACCAGATGAAACTCATCAGTTAGCTAAACTTCAAATGTGCCTTCAGGATGTTAAAACCTGGATGTCCTGTAATTTTCTAATGTTAAACTCAGATAA